GGATCCGAGCCGTGCCCGTCCGTGCCGGATCGCCGCCGTCGCTCGCCCTCAGCACCAGCTCGTGAAACGCCGCCTCCTCCCGGTCCAGCGCCTTCGCCAGCACCAGCTCGGGACGCTGATCGCCGCCGGGGCCCGCCTGCACGGCCAGCGAGAAGTGCTCGTCGCCGCTCAGCTCGTAGCTCTGCAGGGAATTCCGGCCCGAGTCCGGATCGTGAGCCTCGGCGAGGAAAAACCGCGACCCAACGGGTGTCGTCTCGCTCATTTTCAGTTCTGTTTCTGCCTCTCGGAAGCTCGGCGCGTTGTCGTTAATGTCCGTGATTTCCACTTGGATTCCGTAAACCTGCATTTCCCCCTCCACTATCAGCTCACAGCGCAGCACGCACTGCGGCACACGCTCGCACAGCTGCTCTCTGTCGATCCTCTCCGCTGTCACTAAATGTCCCGTCTTCCCGTGCAGAACGAAATACTGTGTCCTACCTTTGTCCAAGATGTGGACGCCGCGGTCTCGGAGCGCCGGCAGCTGCAGCCCCAGGTCCTTGGCCACATCGCCCACGAACGAGCCCTTGGGCATCTCCTCGGGCACCGAGTAGCGCAGCTGCCCCCACGCCGCCTCCAACGCTGCCAGCAGAACACCCCAGAGCAGAGCTCGCTGCCGCCGGCCCCAGCGCCTCCCCGCCGCGCTCATCTGCCCCCTTCAGCAGCTCCCTGCTTCCGCTTTCTAGGGTTTCGTATTGGGTTCTCCGGTCCCGGTCACTGTTCGTTGCCTCCGTCGCCTCTCCCTTGCATGGATCCGCACCGTGGAGACGATCGCTGACCGCCGGACTTCCCCGCCAGGAATCCAGCGATATAGCGATTGTGCCGGGCCGCAGCGGGCGGGGCTGCAGCGCTCCGATCTCCCTCTCTCTCCTCTCGGTCAACAGCGGCGCCCGCAGCCTCCTCCCGGCACTGCAGGCACCGAGCGCTCCCGAGCGCTGTTCGCCACTGGGAGCTTGCAGGGAAAGGACAGTCGCCTCAGAGACGTGGAGTCTCCTCCAACGGGAACCTCCTGCCTCGGCTTTTCTCCAAACGATCTCTTCTTAGATAATTCAGCTAATCACCAGACACAAATCATACGCATTCTAACCTGTGGCACTTCTACGGCACTGAAAAACTTTTTCTAAAGGTAATGAAATATAATGTTCTTCGAATATGGTATCAAGAATATTATTGATATTATTCCATTACACCCCGAAATACAATATCCTCCCTTCAACTGCGCATATTTCTAGACCAGTCCTTCTTCAAGGACTTTTCCCTCAGCTATTCAATGGGTCAAAATAGTGCTATGCATGATGTGAAATGCTTAAGAAGAGTTCAAATGTTTGCTGCCTGAATACCGAAATATAGGGACAACCCTAAAATGTTAGAGTTTCTTATATCCCAGCTGCACATCTGAGGCTGCTCTGAACGAGCCTAACTTATCCAGATTCTCCAAACACCAATTCGGAATTGTTCCTTACAGCTTTACATACTACAGGCTGTGCTTACACCAAGTTTTGCTATGTAGGGTAACTCAGAAGAGAGAGCAATGAATCATAAACAACAGAATCATTAATCAGAAAAGATCTCCTGTGTGATCAACTCCATGCATTCTCT